GACAGCTGCCAACAGCTGCGCGAGGCTGAAACTCTGCATTTGAGACAGTATCACTGCGAAGTTTTAGGGAACATTACGCCGATGTTTAAGGGAACTTTACCCTGAATCCTGAAGATAAGACGCTCCCCGGCCGCAGAGTTGAGCTGCAGGAAGGCGCTCGTCGTGTCCCAGTCGACGTGCGTGATGGAGGACGAGGCTCCTGCCACCGTCAGCAGGCGCTCGTAGTTCTTCGTCACGTTGTAGATGTCGACCTGAACATGGTAAGAAATAAAAAAGTTTGATAATCTTGATGACGATAAATTTTAAGCAGAGTTATACAGCAATTGATGACAAATGACATGAAAGCTCACAGAGTTTTCATTGGAGGCGACGGCGAGTAGGAGGCCGTCAGGGGAATATTTGAGGTCCTGTAGGACTTCCTTGCGGTCGCGGCGACGCGTTTGCTCCTCCAAGTTCCTGCAGGATAAAGGCTCAAGTGAGCTTAACACAAGAAATTACTCTACTTGTTAGGTGGAGATGCAGAGACCATCATGCCACTGCGATAATCATGTACGAGTAATGAACTTAGTCATCATGTTGTCCATCTCCGATTAGGGTATGAAACGTATTGCCTCACACATCACGGTAACATCATGCCTCGCNCTCACTAAGCCCCCAAGCCTCACTAAGCCCCCCAAGCCTCACTAAGCCCCCAAGCCTCACTAAGCCCCCCAAGCCTCACTAAGCCTCCACGCCTCACTAAGCCTCCACGCCTCACTAAGACCCCCACGCCTCACTCGCTGCTGAAGACCACGAAGGCGCCGTTCTTGAGGCCCGCCGCCACGGTGAGGCCGTCGGGACTGAAGGCGACGCAGCGCGCGGCCTCCGCCACGAGCACCGTGGCCATCGGCACACGACGCTCCAGGTCCCACAGCCTGCGTCAGACAACGTGCATATTGTGACCGATCCTTCACAATTATCACTTATTTTAATACCAGCATACGTTTATTCATTTCATGTCCATTTGTTTTAGTGTATACATCGAAGGTGTAATTATACAGTCGCGTCTGGCGTGGCCGCCTCATTGACATTAGAGTTCGACCTTATACTCCAGTAGCAGTAGTGCGAGTTCAGGTCTGAGTGGCAGTAAGTCAAGGAGTCAGTCATGTGCTGCCAACCATACAGTAAGGTTCTACCTGAACTCAATCCGCCTTGCTGAATCGCTAGTGATTTTCAACGCTATATCTTGTGGCTGTGCTTCAAAACTTTATTACGCTGATTATTGGTCATGAAGATGCCTGCTACGCTGGTTTTGGAATTTTAAACGCGTTATATTTAGTTTCCGAAATAAAAATTTACATTTTATCCACCTGAACTTATGTTTTAATAAATAGAAGCCAAATGCAATAAAATGCCAGCGACAGAAACTTTATTTAGTTCGTTGTTTTCAGCATGATAGTTACCGGCGTCTGGCTGTAGTGCTCGAGCGTTGTGACAACATTGGAGAGTTGAGGCGAACGTCCGGTGACAAGATGATGGTCATGTTACTAATGATAATAATGAAGAAGAAGCATCACTGCAATAACAATGTCGAGTGGCTGTCGAACACTCACTCACAACACTCACTCAAAACACTCACCTGACGGTGCAGTCGTCAGAGGCAGTGACTGCAACACTCCTGGAGGGGTGCGTGGCGAGCCCCCACACCTCCCCCACTCCGTGCCCCTGTACCACACACGTCGCCCCCTGGGGTGTCGCTCCCCGCATGCGTATCACCCACACTTCGTCCTGCTCCGTGCCTGCCACGATCTGTACATGCCACAGGGCAAAGACTATCATGACAAAAACATTACATTATTATTATAAGAAAATTTTTGACGAAAGCATCAGTAAAAATCGAAAACGATCACTAAAAATATGAACCTGGAAATAAATTTACACGTCCGCCTACGCATGTAGAGATTGACGCTGAATATTGGGATTAGTATGTCATGGACGCTGCATACATTCATTTATTAAGAGATAATATACAAAAATTCGCGCCTCCCTAATAAGCTCGAATATATATAGTAAGAAATTATTCACAATAATATCATAAAAACTAAAACCGCATTCAGTTATAAAAAACCTAAAAAATACAAAAAAAAACATTAAAAACGCAGGTTACTGGGCATTCCGTCACGCTTCTCGATCCTCCTCTCCGCTCTTCACGATTCCACACTTAACATCCTGCTCCTCTCCCTCAACCTCCACACGTTTTCCAAATATCTCTTCAGACTCTCACACATAGCCGCAGCTGCTCTCTCAGACAGACCTGCAATCACTGCCATCCACTCCTCACTTGTTCTCTCACGCCCATCGCAATCACCTACATCATAGATTGTCGTCCTCTCTCATACGCCCCCACATTGCATCATCAAGTGCTCCATAGTTTCTTTCTCATCCCCATCACACATAAAACATGCATCCTCCTTTTTCTCATTCCCCCTATACGTCCATTCACGCAAAGCGCCCTGCCTTCATACATAACAACATGTCCCCACCTCTTCTTCCATCATATATACATACATTCTTGCTTTGGCATCGCTTTCTGTTGGTACAATTTCAGAGTTTCCTCTCTCTCCATTCAATGCTTCTACACCTTCACTCCACATCCAGTAATTCTTTTATTTATATATTTTATCCATTCATTTTCATCCCATTCTATTCCAGTTGTGCCCCGCCTAGTAACCAGCCATTCATACTTTGGCCCAGCGGACCCTTGGCTCACCCATGCTTGATCATGCATACCACACTAACGCAACAATGCACAGCATCTTCGTGCCCATTTGCTCACCCTTGTGTTCCAAATAAGCATCTTTCGTGCCCAACATTCATCGTCCATTCGTTCCTCTCTTTATACCTCAAAACTGATCTCATTCTTCCCTCCTTAAAGGCACTCAATCCACTGGCCCCTCTCAGGGCCTCCACCGCCCTGGGAACTGCCATACTCTTCCACACTTCCTTAAAATTTCATACTTATTCGCTCTTACTTTTGGGGCACTGCCAAGTATACCCAACCATTGATTAGCTCTACTTAGACTCTCAGCCTTTGTTCACTTACATCCCCCTTGGTCCAAATGCCATTAGTGGTCACTGCAGGCGCTTACGCTGAGAAGTGTTCTCATCAAATGCCAGTAGTGGTCACTGCAGGCGCCTACGAATTGAAGTGCTCTAACGGTCTAACCAAATGCCAGTAGTGGTCACTACAGGCGCCTACGATGCGAAATGAACTCACCAAATCTTTGGAAGCGGCGATTGAATGCACAGGTCCCGGTTTCTCGTAAACCAGGCTTGGAGTCTCTGTAAATTATTGAAATCTCAATACATAAAATTATAAATTGAGCGCAACAAAATAGCAGTTTTTGCTAGTTACTGTGATAGCGAAAAATACTTATTTTAATGTTCACAAAAAATGGAGGCTACATATTAATAATGCTTTCACCGGCCAGAGCTGCTACAATCTAACTGATCATTATTAGACCTATTATACACTGATGACATGGACAGACGTTCGCAGCTCAGAGCCAAGACAATATATAAATCACTTCTAGGCAACTGTGCTCATTTATTTTACTCTCGATGCCGTCTATATTCTCCTTGCCATCAGTCAGTAAAATGCCGGTTCAGTCACTTCAGTGGCAATGGATTAAAATCATATAGAAGCTCACTTAAAATGGTTTATTTGAACTCTTTCGTTGAAATCGTAATTTAAAAAAAAAAATAAAATAGTTCATGATGCTCCGATTTTAGTTAAAATCACTTAGAACTGTTAAAATATACAAGACGTACAACTGTCTCTATAGCACAGCATTGAGCACGTGGTCCAGGAAAAAACACGTATTCCCATAAGCGAGGCGACAGCAAAAGACAGCGGTTGTGGTCAGCACGACAAAAGAGCAGCAAACGTAGGCTTTCAAAAATCACTGCCATGCATCAGCCACTAGCTGGTCTGCCTTCGTGGCATTCAGCTCACTAGACTCCTGCGTCTCGGAAAATTTTTCTCGAAAAGAAACGGGGCAACTGGGACGAGACGAGAAGTTACCGGGAAAAAATAACAGGACAGAGGGTAAAATTTGTCCCGGAATAAACGTATAAAATGGGACAAGACTTGTGTCCCGGACTCTAAAACTTGGGTCCCGGTGATTTTGAAACGATACGAGACAGATAGATACAAAGTGAGACGTGACGATTATCAGAAGTGGTCACTGGAAATATTTTTAGCAGCAAAGAACAGGCGAGATCCCATGATGGTCGAGGTATATAAACCAGGCCAACAGTCGTCGCAATAGCCGATATTTGACAACAAATCGGGTATGCGTAGGCACCTTTTTCGTGCCTACGCTGGGTAGTTCTAAGGCTGAAGAAACACAATGCCGGCCAAAGCAGAGACTCTGATATGGCATTAGACGAGCTGGAGAACATCAGCAATGAAGATGAGGCTTCATTGAATTATAAAAGTCGAGACTTGCATGAGAATAGTAGAGGAATACGTCGTAAGTTTTGCTGTCGCTTAAAGAAAGCCAAAGTTTACACCCTAGCAAAACACTGAAGAAAGTCTCTTATGCCATCACCACCTATAGCCAACTGCAGACGCGAGTAATTAGTCCCAACCAAGTAGAAGACGCGCCACGTTATGCTCGTTAGACAAAATTTTGATCAGATAATGTCTGAATCAATTCATTATTTTAATTACATATTAAGGATTAACTAGATTACTGGAACTCTTGCTATGTCTGGATTACTAGATTACTCTTGCTATGTCTCGATATAAAAGTTGAAAATTCCGGGAAATTTTATAACCCCCTATTTAAAAAAGGAATTCCGGGACGTCTCGTCTCGGTATTGTTCCGGAATTTATACGGAGCGCTGAAATTTTACCCAGTTTTTGTTGCTAACCGGGATAGACCCTGTTCTCTCGTCTTGAATGTAAAAACACTAACCGCTGGGGCATACAGTCAGGGACACGGTCAGCTAACCATTGCCGAATTCGGGCTCGCCAAGCTCCACGTTTCCACGTAAGCCGCGTTGCTACGCCGCCATCTTTGTAGCACACTCGCGCCTTACCTTACTCTTTCGTTCCTACTCGTTTGGGTGTCTTGGTATCAATGGAGAAGGAAAGAGCAAAGCAGAAAGGATTAAGCTATTGTCAAAATCTCCTTCCTTCAGCGAGAGACCGGTGTTTAAGAAAATTGTTCGACATTAACGATGTTGATCCCTACGACGTGCCGGCATAGCAGTGTAGAGATTTTGCAAGCCTGCCTCCCGTTTCACACGGGGATTTACTGAACTATTTGGTGTCAACCAATACACCTTGCAAGAATTCAAGCCATACGCTTCAAGTTTTCAAGCAATTAGTGGATGGATGGGTGCAGAAGATATCACCCACAAACCAGCCAACTGCAACAACACTATCATTCCTGCCAAGGTGAGGATAATGGATCGTGACAATGTAATATGATCCGTAAATATTATTACATTTTATTCTTATTTATGTAGCTTATCTAGCGGCAAGTAACAGATTTTGCCCCTGGAAAATATATAGTATCGTATATCATATATATGCGATAAGTAAACTGATACGATATACACGGCATTCACGGCTAGTAAACTGAAGAAACGCATTACATTGCCCAGTTTTCTGTTTAAATAGTCGTGAGAACAACTGGTGCATCCAACAACGGCGCAGTAGCGTCCCATCTTCAAGCAAAAACTTCAAAAAGAGACAAGCGCAGTAGATTGAACACTTAGGCGAAAGCTAGACCATTCTACAAATATGACGGTCTATCCCACAATGAATCTCGCAATTCGGTGCCGTGACGTCATCCTTTCGAGCCCATTTCAAAATTCTACACTAGAATGTAGTTAGGTGCAAGTAAATTTGTGAACGGCAGTTTCCTGTCGTTCACAATGTCACGCAAAGAATGTTTGATCAATTTAATGAAATGCTGCTAATAGGTCGAGTAAAGAGCAGAATTGTAGTTTGACAAGTGTAATCACTTGTTGTCACTGAGTTGGCAGACAGATTATAACCTTTGAGATCGGAAAGAATATCATCTATTAGCATCTGACGGAGTTCAACATGAGACTTAGGACAGCTTTTTACTTTACAACTCCTGCACAATACCCTTTGAAGGCTAATGAATAGAGAGTCGCCACCCCCTGAAGCGGGCAGGCCGTCCAAAATCAATCCAGCAGGCAACGGTTGGTCATTATCACACTCTGTCTCGACCTCAGGAGCAGAGGTCCATCGCGATAGTCTGTCTGCAGCAACATTCAACCTACCAGGGGTGAACTGAATTTCAAAACTGAACTCGGCTAAATCCTCAACAGTACGAGCTAGCCTGCTGCTAACCAGCTTCATATTGTGCAAATACACAAGAGCTTGGTGATCAGTGTGTACAATGAAATCAATGCCGTACAAGAATGGTCGCAAGTTTTTCACTGCCCAGCCTCTTTAATTATCATTCAAAGTTCCAACGCTTTGTGTTTCATGCATGTAGACGCAACGAAAAAGAGCCGCAGTACTCACCAGGCACGGTAGTCTGCACGGTACAGTGTCCATGCAAGCACTCACCAGGCACGGTAGTCAGCACAGTAAAGTGCTGCAGGTCCCGGATGGAGATGGCCCCATCACGACCTCCCGTCAGTAGCCAGTCCCGGTACACCTCCGTCACCAGCACGCCGCCCTGCGACACGCCAGGCTGCCTCACACCATTCATTTTCTGCTACACAACGCAAGCTTTGATATGAATGATTTCAGCAGCCATACGCTAGATATGGGAGGCTCGCGTACAATTTGCTGATACGTTACAGCAAACACGTAACAAATCTGCTATTGCTCTCTAACCGTACTCTTCATCTGATAAGCATTACAAAGGTACATGACTGAAAATAATATTAGTTACCATGAAAAATAACTAATAATGATAGAGAATATCTCTACCTTGCAGTCGGTAAATTTTGGGCATATCCGTGGAAATGAAGGTACGAACAGGGTAAACAAGGGAAATATCAAGTATATCACATTACATTAAACAGCGATGAGGTATTAGAATCCCCTTGAAAATGCTTGTAATGATTCCACATTATGCCGTCAATGAGAGGCTCACAGGATGAACGTCCACGACAGTCGACTGGAGCTTCCCGTCAGGACCCCAGATGTTGAGGCTGCCACCCGCTGACCCCGACACCGTACGGCCGTCGGGCAGACACGAAACGCTCGTCTGGTCCTCCTGCCTCCCCAGGCTGCCCCACACCCCAGCCCGCCCCTGAGGAGAGAACAGGTGGTAAACACGACACGCTCGTCTGGTCCTCCTGCCTCCCCAGGCTGCATCACACTTCATACTGCACCACACTCCTGGCTGCTCCACACTCCACAAAAGAAGGGAGGAGTAATTGTTTACCTTAGGAAATCTCTCGCAAGAAGCGTGGTGGAATTGAGATCGGAATCTGGAAACTCTGGTGGCTTTGTTGAACATGCACTACTACACATTTAAGAACTCGACCTCTGCGTAGCCATATTCTATAGGCCGCCTACATGCCCACCGAAAAATTTTGATCCAGAAATCCCTGCTGGGGGAAAATGATCCAGACCCCAGCCTGATAATGGGAGAAACTTCAATCTCCCTCGCATCCGTTGGACAGGCCCGGGTGGCCCGGAGGTTGGTGACCGCCGCGGAAGTAAAAAAGCCAAACTAGTGAATTTGCTGCGGAACACTTGCTTAGTCAGCAAGTACGGCTGCCGACAAGGAACACAATATCCTCGATCTCTTTTTTTTCCTAATAATGAAAGAATGATGGTTGACGTTCGAGTTGAAGAGACCTCACTGTCTGACCACCGCCTGGTGGTGATGGTGGATACGACAATTGGAATTGAACCCCAGCACAAGGCTATACCCAAAAAGAGATTGGAGAGGAGAGGAGAAGAATTCATGAGAGGAATGCAGAGAAAATTTACACAAGACTATGTGAGGAGCTATCACAGGTGTGTGTGCGTCATGCCCCGAGAAAAACGGGCCTCAAAGTCTGCAGCATTCCAGGCGACCGACGAATCATCATAAGAAATCACACGATTGAAAAAAACAAATAGCTAAACCATTAGTGATATGAGGAGACAGAGACTAGTAGAGCTCCACAAGGAAATCGAACGCTGGTTGCTGGAGTGGCAAAGGACATAAGAATTAGCTGCCGAGGAACGAGTAGTTGAAGTCATCAGAGAGAGCCCTAAGTATTTCTTCAAATACGCCCAGTCCAAGGCTAAAATAAAGACGCCAGTGAGCCCGCTGAAGGATAACGAAGTCCTTGTCGGAGATTACCAGGGGTAACTGGGGTAACTGGTAACTGGTAATCCTTGTCGGATTACCAGTTACTGGGATCGCAGTTTGAATCAGTATTTAGTAACCCCCGTTACTCAAGACAGGAGAATAAATTTGAAGTTCTCCAGGAGCTGCCTGGCGGTATAGAGTTGGAGAGTATGAACATCTTCAAAAACAGACTAGACGAAGCTATGCAGGAGCATATGTTCAGTCTTAAAATGCCTAGCAAATTACGGACCAGGCAATAAGTCCAGCAGCTATCTCAATCAATCGTCAGCTATGGAAAGATCAGGTTCCAAAGGCCGGATCCCTTGTGAATCAAGTCACGAAAAGTTCAAGAATCGGCAACAGGCCATGGGCCTATTTCTTCAACGCCGACACTTCTATTCTATTCTATTCTATTCTAACATTCAATTTGGACCAGAAGACATGGAAATAAGTATCAAAGAACTGGCGACGTTCTCAGCACCAGGACTCGATGGAATTCCGGCAGTGCTGTCGAAGAAGTGTGTTGGAGCACTGAAAACTCCGCTCACAATGCTCTGGAAAGCCTCGATGATGGAGGGAATTATTCCTGAGGGCCTAAAAGTGGTTCTGATAACGCCAATTTACAAAGGAGGCCCGAGGGGCCTCCAGTTTACAGTTTTTGTGAGGAGAGGCCTACTTGACCTCACAGGTGATCAAGGTTTTTGAGAAGATGGTGGCCAGGACGCTGGTCCACTATATGGAAGAGGCTTTTCCTGAGCACGTTATCCTAAACACGTTACCCTGAGCACGTTACCCTAGGCACGTTACCCTGAGCACGTTACCCTGAGCACGTTGCCCTGCAGCGTCCAGAACTTGATGTGTTTGTCCCCGCAGGTGACGAGGTGTGTGGTGCTCCCGTACGCCCACTCCACCTCCTCCACCTGACAACAGATGGCGCGTCGTCAGTCGCATGCTTTATGGCTAAATTAAAAATTGTACTCGTATTATGATATTTTTGTGCAGACGAAAGTCTGAAAGAGAGACTGCAAAAGACTACCTGATAAGTTGAAATAGCTCAGGCCAACGATTTTTGAAGTTAATTAGTAATTGTATTTCCATTTTACAGGGTGAACCAGAATTAAGTAACCCTTTTAATTTGGTAATAAATAAAAAACTAAGAACGTTATGAAGTTGAAACTTGTTTCATTTAAAAGAAGAACATTTTTATGGTAATATTGTATCATAGTTATGTCATTATCCTGTATAGCTTGCTAAATTTGTGTTTAATTATCAAGCCTTAAATTTTCATTAAGATTCGCTACAGCAAAGAAGAAAGAACGAAAATTCTGCAAACCTACATCAGGACGATGTCAATAACAGAAGTTCAACGTGATTACAGGATCCATTTCAAAACAAGAATCAGTCCTTCAAAAAAAAACAATTAAATCTCTTTATCGAAAATTTGCGGATACCGGGAAATTACTAATGAACTAATGAAGGTTATGAAAGCAACGAAGAGAAGAGCCCTATTTTGTCAAAACAATTGTGGTGGGCATTTAAAATATATTATATTTAAAAACTAGGATACAATATTACCATAAAAATGTTCTTCTTTTAAATAAAACAAGTTTCATAACGTTCTTAGTTTTTAATTTTTAACAAATTAAAAGGGTTACTTAATTCTGGTTCACCCTGTATGTATTTTTACAAGTCATCGAGCCTTTACGTTGATGAAAACAATCATAGCAGTCAGATTTTGCCACAGATTGCCAGCTTTTACTGAAAAGTAGTAAAACTTGTACTTATTCTTTGAAAATTTTGAAAAGTCTCGTTCTCACATTTTAACTTTAAACGTCAGCATTGCCATTAATCAACTCGACACGTTCATTCAAGACATATTATTAAAAAATATCGAACTTATAATTTAAAGCGTTTCCGAATGAGCCAATGAGACAGCACCAACAAGCTGGAGCGCCAGCCCTGAGATGTGCTGCTAACTTCACTTCATATTTTTCTTGATGATTGCATGTTCAAATTTGATCTTCTGATCACTTGATGGCTGCAAGTCCGCGACATTTTATCCGCGGCATAAGAGTGTTATTAATTCGTGTTTATTAACTCGTTGCAAAGCAAATTTGTTCAAGATTCATAAACGAAGTTCACAGGTTAAAATAAAATATACGTTTAAAAATTACTTTTTAAAGACAACACTTCCAAAGAATCCAGTATCTCCAATCTTACTGATGTACAATGAATTTCTCATCTAATTTTCAAAAATTAAAAAAATTTACTTTTCAATTTTTTTAATATATATAAATTTTTTTAATATATAAATTTTTTTCAAAATTATTCATTCTGTTAATTGATTCATGCATTGCCTCTGATTTCACACAAGTGTGCAAAATTTCAGATCAATTAGACACGTAAAAGTGTGTCAAATATCAGTTATAAGATTTGTAGCTGACAAAATTATTTTTTCAATTTTTTAATATTGCAAAAAAAAATTTTTTTACTTCTTAAAATCATTTATTTTGACATTTGATTCATGCATTGTCTCCAACTTTACACAAGTGTGCAAAATTTCAGATCGATAGGATAAGTAAAAGTGTGTTAAATTTCGATTATAAGATTTGTAGCAGACAGACAGACAGACAAACAAGAAGTGAAGTTAAAGAGAAGTGTTGTAATAAATAAGAGTAGAATGACATGAATAACAGCCAGACGGATGACCTTGCCGGCGTACGCGACGGCAGCGGCGACGCGCCTGCCCTTCTGCCAGTCCCACACGACCACCTCCTGCCGCTGGGGTGAACCTCCTACAGATGCCAGCATCTGCAGGAGAGCCATACCTCATTGGGACACTACAACCCTCACTAGACCATTACAACCCTTCCTTATTGGGGCACTACAACCCTCACTAGACCATACCAGCCCTTCCTTATTGGGGCACTACAACCCTCACTAGACCATACCAGCCCTTCCTTATTGGGACACTACAACCCTCACTAGACCATTACAACCCTTCCTTATTGGGGCACTACAACCCTCACTAGGCCATTACAACCCTTCCTGATAGGGACACCAAACACTTCCTAAAGCATTTTAACTCTTTGTTATTCTGGTACAACAACACTCCCTAAAGCATTTCAACTCTTTGTTATTCTGGTACAACAACACTTCCTAAAGCATTTCAACTCTTTGTTATTCTGGTACAACAACACTTCCTAAAGCATTTCAACTCTTTGTTATTCTGGTACAACAACACTTCCTAAAGCATTTCAACTCTTTGTTATTCTGGTACAACAACACTTCCTAAAGCATTTCAACTCTTTGTTATTCTGGTACAACAACACTTCCTAAAGCATTTCAACTCTTTGTTATTCTGGTACAACAACACTTCCTAAAGCATTTCAACTCTTTGTTATTCTGGTACAACAACACTTCCTAAAGCATTTCAACTCTTTGTTATTCTGGTACAACAACACTTCCTAAAGCATTTCAACTCTTTGTTATTCTGGTACAACAACACTTCCTAAAGCATTTCAACTCTTTGTTATTCTGGTACAACAACACTTCCTAAAGCATTTCAACTCTTTGTTATTCTGGTACAACAACACTTCCTAAAGCATTTCAACTCTTTGTTATTCTGGTACAACAACACTTCCTAAAGCATTTCAACTCTTTGTTATTCTGGTACAACAACACTTCCTAAAGCATTTCAACTCTTTGTTATTCTGGTACAACAACACTTCCTAAAGTATTTCAACTCTTTGTTATTCTGGTACAACAACACTTCCTAAACCATTTCAACTCTTTGTTATTCTGGTACAACAACAACACTTCATAAACCATTTAACACTGCACTATGAGTATCCGAGCATGTAAAGAACCCTTCATACAAGGTTATTCTTTATGATGGACCTAATTTAATGAATTCAGATTTATTTAAGTATGAATTTAAATATATAATTTACACACCAACGGAAAGAAAAAGATTCAAAGTTTTTTTAAGTATTCATATACGTTCAAATGTCCCCATTGGCATTTTCTGTTAGAAACTTTTTGAATCAGTCACTTCCAGAGCGTTGGGTAGGACGCATTGGAACGACGTAAAAAAAACTTTACATTTTTCTCTTCCCATTGGTGTATGAATTATTCATTTTTAGTTAATACTTAAATAAATAAGAATTTATTGAATTGGGTCCATCATTTAGAATAACCCTGTACATACGAGTATACTGACCTTAACTTTTTATGAGAAACGAATAGCTCTAAAAAACAGTTGGTGAATTCTCTTACGATGTATAGCAACATATTAGTTTAGTTTAGACTTTAGATTCATTTCTGAATTCTTTCACGGTGTGAAGATGACAGAAATGATCGATTAGAGTTCACAAGAGTTGATTGATATTGAATCTGCGATCGAAAAACATAACTAGCATTTGTTAACAAGTTATATGATGAACTTTTGAGCTCATAATCATTTCCCTTGACCTCGCTAAGCAACCGGCATATTTGTCGAGGATCGTGTGACACCCGTATTATAGTTTTCGCAAATTAGGTACGTTCCTTCAGTGAGTCCAGTGGGAAAAGCCAATAATGTTATGTATATACATTACCAATGCTCGATGTTGCCGTCTTTATAGTGCTAGTGCGTTAAAACAGTAATCTATGAGCTCGTTTTTATCTTTGTTTTTATCCCGGAAAAAATACCTCGTTTATACGGCCTGAATCGGTCTCACCAATAATTGAAAAAGCTTCAGTAACATGTCAGTTCATGTCATATAAAATCCGAAAACTAGCTAAGACTTTTTTTAACGGCTGTTCGATAACTCAATTCAATTATATTTCTAACAATTTCACCATAAATTCATTGAAATTTTTCATTAGTTTTAAACTGATTATGTGAGTTATTTAATGTAGCATTACTGAGGGTTGACATGACCTGATGATCATGAGAGAAGGCGAGGGCGGTGACAGCGGTGTGGTGGGCGTCATGCAGGACGCTGAGGGGCGCCGTGTCGCCCGCACCCCAAACACAGATACTGGGGTCCCGCCCCAGCTGTCCTGACGCTGCTATGGTCCCGTCCTGGCTCACCGTCAGGCTAAATAATGACCACCAAGCTCGTTACTTTACAACGAATTTGTTAATTAATCTCTGGTTACCTAAAACTCAACTTGTAACCTTATTTGAAATATTAACAAATTATTCAAAAATATATTATTCGATATATGAATGATAATCCATATACATAATTGTTTCACTAAATGAATAAGCGATGGGGTACGACCGAAAAAATTTTCCTTATGATATTTATTCGTCCACTTTATTTAGGGCTTGAAGATTTGCTAGAACCTGCCATTTGCTCAAACAATAATACAGTACGAGAAAGCAGATATTAGTAAAAAATATTAAAAAAAAAACTTTTTAAAAAAAACACGTTTTTCTTGTGGACTAAAAAGTAGAAAATAAAATACTTTAAAAAACTTTTTTAAAAACACGTTTTTCGTGTGGACTAAAAAGTAGAAAATAAATTATGGTTCGCCCCAAAAAACGTGTGTCGGGCAGATTTATGATTAAAGCGAAAAGCAAACAACACTTAAATTTCGGAAATTTGATGGTGAACGTACAGCCCGACCCACGTTTTTTTGGGGCGAACTTTTTATGATTGTATCTGAAATTGTTAGGCGAAAATAGCCTGCATGCCGAATTTCAGATCTCTAGAACAATCAGAAGTGGGATAATTTTCGTTGTCAATGTTAACAACAAACAAACAAACAAACAAACGCGAAGCTAAGCTAAGAAAAACGTGTTAATAAAATACAGAGGAAAGTCTAGAGGTATAAGGTAGATCTAATAAGTTATAGGCTGCAATCTAAAAATTACAGCCTATAGATCCTATTTTCTATACTCAAATTTCTTAATTAAATGCTAGAATGGAAAGAATTGGACATCTTCATCTGATGCTACTAAAAATTTTGCTCATGACTTTTAGCGATAAAAGTTTACTTTCGATGATTTGTTTTGTTTCACAGAAGAAAATGTAAGTTACTGTTGCAATCCCGCGATCACCATTTTCTCACTATTTGATGAAGTTATGAACTCAAGTCAATTTGCACTTTTTGAACATTTCCTTAGTGATAGTCTCAACAACGCGTCGATCTAGAACTGCAAGGAAGTTGGGAGGCGAACGTAGTCTAGTATGGTAAATCTGTTATTAGCAGAGCAACAGTTAAGACTACCTGGTGATGTCTTCATCACCTAACATTACCTAGTTATGTCATCATCACCTAACATCACCTAGTGATGTCATCACCTAACATCACCTAGTTATGTCATCACCCAACATTACCTAGTGATGTCATCACCTAATTTCACCTAGTTATGTCATCACCCAACATTACCTAGTTATGTCACCACCTAACATCACCTAGTTATGTCATCACCTAACATCACCTAGTTATGTCATCATCGTGTCCCGTGAAGAAGCTCTGCTTGTTGTTCTCGAGATCATGCACCACCGCCACCCCCGCGACGTAGTAGAGGAGGTGGCCGGCAGCGTTGAGGCGGATGTTGTTGCGCGCGGTGTGGCCGTTGTAGCCGAACACCCAGTCCAGCTGCAGCGACCCGTCTGGTGGCCGCCTGTTGCTCATCGTTGCACGCGTCGTCTGAGCACATCACATAATGCTTGTGTCAAATACAACTCTTATACCTATAGAATCTTCGGATATGCAACTCTTATACCTCACAATCTTCGGATAATGCACCCCGAATTTGAATAGCATAAACCATCATGTGGACATTGTACAGTTAACGTAATTTTTGTTAACCAATTGGTAAGCAGTCGGACTACAATTAATTTGCGGCAATGAAACTCATCATTTAGAACGTTGATAATAACTACGGGATCACAGTTAACGAAATTATTAAATTTTATGCATTTGGGAAAGGAAAAATAAGGAAAGATTAACCAGGAGCCAAGTCAAAAAACGCGCCGGCCGAACAATTTTGCCAACACCAGAGTGCATTCCGGCGACAAAAGCGCGATGCTTTCTTATCTTTACTCGAAAAAATGAATGGGTCTTTGTCCAAGTAGTGACCCACTTGGGTCTTGGGTGGGGGTCACTACTTGGGTCTGTGGTTGGGGGTCTTTGTCCAAGTAGTGACCCACTTTCTCACCAAGAGCACGAACATAGACCGGACCGTCCGGAATTGCCCTGACAATACATTAAGCCGGGCCAACCTGGGTTAGAATGACCTACAAAGGGACAAAAAGTGTGAAACTATTTGGACAAAGTCTCACTCACTTCCCCAGGTGCTCAAGCATGATCATGAATTTAATAAGTGAAAAAAATTAAAGATTTCCCTTAAGAATAATTCCCCTCTTAGCTCAAAAGCTGTAGTAATAGTTAGGCTTTTAGAAGGCTTTGATTCAACTCCATTTTCCGGATCCCGCGCAACTCATACGAAAACCAATACAAGGTTCTTTCGATTTCATATTTCTGTAATAAATATTGATGAAAATCCGACATAGGAATACTGGATGATTAATGCAAAATTGCATAAAATATCCACTATTTTCAAAAACTTGAATATCACGCCATATATATTGGATTATGTATATCCAATATTTATTCTAAAATGAATATTAGCATATTAATATCCATATTATTAGCATATTTATATCCGTATGCGATAAACATTGGAACACTTATTCATATTGGAATATCTAATTATCTATATCTCCGTTTGCGCCTCGACCACCCAGTTACAACTTCGATGCTTAGCGACCACCTACACTGCTGGAGGCCGAGCCGACACTGAATCTTGTTACCTAAGCTGATTGCGGCGTGCAGTCCGGTAAAAAGCAGCGGAATTTACAAAACCCCAAGCATACACACTGTTGGTTGACACCTATACCAGATGTAGCTAATTCTGCAATATTGACAACATTATTTAAGTGAACCGCAAATTGAGCATATGACCGTATCGTTCCTAGGCTTTGTTTAATAAATCTATTGATATCGGTCAAATGTATAAGCTGTCAAGAGTCAGCTCTCACACAGGTTCGTCGTTGTGACGGCCCTCGCAGTCGCATAGCAACTTAGTTCCAGAGAATACCTCAACATCGATCGCAGTATCCAGGCCAATGTCTCAGCTCACTCACAGCCCGTAACTGTGCAACCCTGAGCTACACTTAACACAGCCCATAATTGTGTAATCCTGAGCCACACTTTACACAGCCCGTAATTGTGTAACCCTGAGCTACACTTTACACAGCCCGTAATTGTGTAACCCTGAGCTACACTTTACACAGCCCGTAACTGTGTAACTACGAGCTACACTTTACACAGCCCGTAACTGTGTAACCCAGAGCAGCTGAGCCACACTTCACTCCGCCCGTAACTGTGTAACTCACAGCTACACTTCACACAGCCCGTAAGTGTGTAACTCTGAGCCATTTTTTTCACAAAGCCCGTATTTGAAGGGTCTGATTTATAAGAACATCAAAGTTGTCTTCATGACATGATTCAATTCTATAATCTACAACTCCTGTAATGAGCTTTATTTTGACGGCACCGTCTATTCGTTGAACACTTTTCAGCTGCTAAAAGTACTACATATGCCATATGGCATGATACGGCAACGTTGGATAGTTTGTACACCGAATTTGTTGTACCTGAATTAAATAAAGCTAATTATTGCTCTCGCCGGTCAATAACAGATGCGATCTTACGAATCATGAGTCTGAATCACATTTAAAGTAAATGCGATATACTGTTCTCACTCTCAGTTTGCTAACTATTGCATGCTATCACTGATAGTATTACCTTAACACAAAGGCAATAATAGTAAACTTGGGACTAAAATTGATTACATTGAGTTACTTGAGTAACTCATTGATAGTAACTTGATAAGAGCTTACCTCTCCTTTCTTAGATTTAATTCTTAAAATATTCTTCAAAGCCGTTAACATTGTTCTTATAACACTCAATTCAGCCTAGCCAGTCAATCAGACCAATGGAACTCTAGCAGCTCCAATACTACATGAACCCTGCATCCCCACCACCAAATCGCTATTAGAAATTCTTTAAAAAATACACTTCTAGCAGTTTTTATCGTATTAAAAAATATTTTCATGAAAGTCACAGCAATTAATTAATGGTTTTCAACCGACTTAATTGAGTTCTAAATAAAATCATGAATTCCTGCAGTTATAAGTTTAGCAGCAGCTCAGCCAGTTTTGAGACACTGGTAGAGTTTTACTCATAAGTTTCGAGCGCATGCCATTTATAGAACAATGCGGGAATAAAATTATTCAGAAGCGCACGTCACAACACTCACACTACAGAGTTACGACTGTCACGGTAGCAAGGTTCTACACTTCTTAGCCCTCAGCAGCGCGGTAGGTTAGGTTGCGTCTGTGTATGGCGGGCTGCTTGGCAACTGCTATCACTTTCTTCTTCGAGCTCCGGCGGAGGCGGGAATGCTCTGACAAGAGTAATGAAGCAAAATCCCGTGAACATTTTATGTTTGCAAATCATTTCGTAATATAATTGAAGTTGCACGGTAAATAATTATTGGAAGGGCTGTAGAAAAGGACACTTCACCCTAGAATCTAAACCCTGTGTTTCCCAATTAAAGTAAGCTCATCTACGAGCCTGACGCATCTCTGTGCCTCGTAGTTGTTACTTGTGGTAGCTTGGCCCTGTTCGCGTTGTTAGCCCTGTATTGGTCAGTTGAGTCAATTCAAATTACATTTTATCATTATTATAATGATCTATAACAAACACTCCATTTAATCCTATGAACAACCATAAAAATCTAGAGTTTACAAGAAAGTTCAAAAGAACAAACAATAATATTTTTCTTAAGCAGCCACATCAAAAATGCGTGGAAGATATTTTGGTGGACAAAATTTATGTCTTTGCACAACTTCGCAATAGCCTTGCGTTTAGTGCTTCTCCTACAACGTTGTAGGTGCTTTTAGTGCTTCTCCTACAGTTCAATGGTCAATGTGACTTCGAGTGCAGCAGGGAATGGCTTGGAGGATCATGCAGTGACTCATTACATTAAAATTGTTATTTTTTTATAATCAGCCAAACAGTTTTACTTGGGGCCGAGTAAGCTACGGCTTCCGTCTGTGCAAGCATCACCCACCTTTTCCCATGGGACTTCTTTGTACGTGGTATCTTCAGACTCTGTTGTCATCAAGCGGATAAATAGGACTTTTGCATGACTTTCCGAAATGATAAAAACGTAAACTAAAAGTTGCGACAGCTTTTATAAATCTGGCCTCATGAGCTTTGATAAGAAAATACTGGGTATGTAATTTTCTGTGCTTGAAGTTTAGCTCTTATTCGGCAAGATGAATTTGGTACTTGCAGCAAGATCCTCCATGACCACCCAAAAAATGCCCATTAAGTCATTAACTTATGTGGGTGATGACCTATAGTTCCTATACAGGTCTAAAAGAACACGGGTTCCGCGATCCCAATCGAAAACTTCTTGCACCGAAAAATCTGCCATATTAGCACCAAGCCAGCTCTGGGAAAATAATTTATCCCAGCCTTCTACTTGTCTACAACCGGCAACTCGACGACACGTAAAGCTGCTCGACATTCTATTGAATCATAGGATAAAGAATAATTAAAATAGTCTTTATTGATAAAATACTGTTTATTTGCATATCAAAAGTAATGCCGGCAGGGTTCAACTTGCGAGAAATAGAATAAGAGTTCGTCGGGACATAAAAAATGATCGGCTATTTGGACGGCATGAATGCCCAGCTAGCAAAAGGTAACTTCATCCTGTATATTGCGATAATATTGCACAGCTAAAGTAGGAGAGACGTGAGGTTATGGACGTAGGGAAAGGGGACAGGTGACAGAAAGACAAAGAGGGACAGGTGACAAGGAGGGACAGAATAGGAACAGAAACGAAGACACTCGAACAAGAGGTCGCTTACACGGGACGTCGGCCGCCCGCACGAGAGAGACAGAGAAGGGAAATGTAGGTAATCCTGCCTCGCCTCCTGGGCAGGATACTCGCGCAGGCCACTTAGAGGAAGCCCAACTAAGCTCCCAATTTTGGTGGACTATGATTTTTATTTCCAAAATCTCGTGGCAGGCAACACTGTGAGCTTCCATCGATCAGGCAGGCGACATACAAAAACCGAGGGTATTTCGAAACGACTTAATTAGAAATCTAAAGTTTTAATTCGAGCACTTTTTTTAGTTTTAAAAAAGGAAGGAGAATAATGCTCTGTTGCTTTTATTGTTGGAGATTTAGTAAAGAATTTTCAATGAAGAACTTCTGTGTTAATAAATACCCTAAATCGATGAAAACTGCCGAGTTGGGAAGAACTTCAGCCCTCGTATATATTGACTAGCGTAAAGCTAAAAGGGCTGGTTAAAAATTACGCTTAGAAATAACTTATCCAAACAGAGATTCGATATAGAACAAATGTGTTTCATTATATCCACAACAAAATTCACTAACATCGTTCACTTAATCAGCAATAGTATGAAAAGCATACAAATATTTACTGACAATGCGATCATAAATAATGTATAGAAATTCAATCCCAAGAAGAATGCACTTGTTATAAATCCAGACATTATTGAGCAAGTGAGATGGCATCTGTACGGCGCACGCAGCCAGTAACATGCCACTGATGCCAGCGAGATGGCATCTGTACGGCGCACGCAGCCAGTAACATGCCACTNTGTACGTCACTAAGCAGCCGTGTACGTCACTAAGCAGCTGTGTACGTCACTAAGCAGCCGTGTACGTCACTAAGCAGCCGTGTACGTCACTGAGCAGAGGTGTACACACAACACTAAGCGGCCCAAATGAGCTTGCCTGACAACAAAAAAGGTACGGTGAGTCTTGAACGAATTTATTACATTTATTAATAAACATATCACGGAAGTTATGTGCTAGTAAATACCCAACCTAACTTAACTACTGCGAAGCCGTCAACTAAGAGCTAAATAATAACTATTGACTCGTTCAAAAGAACGCAAGTATTTGAGCAGACCCACCCCGAGCACGATGCTCAATGTGAATCATTTAACATTTCAACGCGGACCGAGGCTCTAAATAATACATTAGAGACTCACGCGGTGAGGTAATGGAATGTGAAGGCACGAGCTATCAGTTACTATCTGTTATTGCTTTGAGAACATCAGAAGAAAACAAGGAGACTTCCAGTCTCATCTGGGAGAAGCAGACTATCTCACCCACCAGCAGTTCTGGAGCAGGACAGACACCAGGCACTCCCCCCACGCTCACACTCCCCCCACACCCACACTCCCCACACACCTACACTCCCCTCACACNGGCAAATCAGATATGCGAAAAATTTTCTCAATTCTTACGTTGAATTAATTCAGTCGCAAAAATTCCTTAGTGGTGCCGGTGAAATTAGATTTTCAGTTGAAACATAGAAAATTACAATTTTATGCTTATAAGCTGATGAAATTCGTGAAAGTATGAACACAAATAATTTGATTCAATCCAGTGTCATATAGCAGTGAACGGTATTGAATTAGTCCTGTCTCTTATACACATCTAGATGTGTATAAGAGACAGCTCCCCACACACCCGCCCTCCCCACTCAAGGAACGTCACACGCGGGGTTGTCATGGCCGCCGTCCTCAGAGCTCGAGGAGTCCGCCAAGAGGCGTACGTGCGAAATTCCTCGTCTTGGCGACTCGTCGTCGTCGCTGTCGTCGCTGACGCCGTAGCCTGACACGTCGTCGTAGTCGACGCGTCCTCGTCGCATCGTCGACTGCAGTTCCTCGACGAGTTTCTGCGGCCCCGAGCGCCGGTATTCCTCCTTGACGAAGAAGAGCAGCACCACCACCAGCACCCCCTGCGCCACCAGCGTGTAGTCCAGCAGCAGCGCAGAGTGCAGGTCAGCGCCTTGTTGCTGTTATGTCAATACATTACTGAACATATTAAAGAATTTCCCATAAGTAAATTTAAATTTAATAAAAAGATAAGTTAAGATGTGAAGCAGCGGTAATGAAAATGAGGGACATTTGAAGATGGCCAGAATTTTACAAGAAAAATGTCATTTCATCTTCGAAGTCAAACTGATGAACAATAAATGAGCATATAGAATGTTCAACTGCTAAACAATATGTTACTTATTACAGTAATTGGTTGCAATAAATTGAGATCAAGAAGATAAGAATAATACAGTAACTGGTTGAAATAAGTTGAGATGAGGATGCGAGTGAGCACAAAGCTCACCTGCAGAGCAAAGAGACAAAGAACTCCTGCGATATTCCAGGACATGCTAAGGATGCTGCCCACGACGTCCTCGGGCGCTGGGTAGCCGAGCTCCATGCCCAGCTCGAAAAAGAGCGGCGACACGGCGTAGTTCAGGCTGCCTGCCAGTGATGCACTCGCTTGCAGCTGCCCTAAAATTAATCAATCTTCAAATATCAAAAAAAGCATTCAAATTTTTCAACAATCGGCTAACGTAGAGATGAATTGAGACCAGAAGGCAGAAATACCTGGCTGCCTAAGATCTCAGGCTGCTATTCTAGGACAAGTAAAACCTGGACTCGCCCCGATTGAGAGGCACATTCTTTGTTGATATGATCACGACTGAGAATGTAGGATAGAAAGAGAAGAACAATCCCCGACTTACATGTAAGACATGATGNACCCAACTCGCCGTGTTCTGCACACCCAAGCTAACGTAATTATAACGCCCACCCAACTCGCCGTGTTCTGCACACCCAAGCTAACGTAATTATAACGCCCACCCAACTCGCCGTGTTCTGCACACCCAAGCTAACGTAATTATAACGCCCACCCAACTCGCCGTGTTCTGTAAAAAATGCTCAAGCCAAAATATTTTATCAATGTACAAATTTTCACCGGGGCAATTACAAACAGTGAATAATAATGCCTACAAACGGTAGTCACTATCTACACTACAACTAAAACTGTAATGTCTTCAAACGGAGCAAAATACCTGCACTATAATGCGCATGAGAAATTAAAGACGCTAGGTTCTGTAGGTTAGCACAATATTTCACAACGCATCTCATTATCGGGACATATATACACTTTAACTTGTCACGGGCGGAAGGAAGGTAGGGTGATGATGCTAGACATAACACACGAGACGCTACAGTCTGATAAGCTGTAAACAATTTGTTCAATAGTTGCCTGGGAAACACCGAGAGGCCTGAGGCTGATCTCCAGCATGCTGGACCACGCCACGTTGATGCCCATGGTTATGCTGTACGCGAGCAGCATCACCATAAACGAGCGATTCCTGCATACATTAATACTTTAGGTAGAATCATTGAAATGCGACAATTATTTAGACATGGTACACTCGCATGCAAAAGACCTACCCGTGCTGCTATAGCATTAAAACCACGCTTGCTTAAATGCGTTGATCATGTGCACGCAAAGGTCACTCATGTATAATGTATCTTCATAATAACACATAATTAAAGACAACACGTCAAGTGAGCACTCACCGGAAAGGAACGATAGCGAGGGACAGGGTCTCTGTTAGGGGGCGATTGCGGGCGGTCGAGGTGCGTGATGTAGAAGTGTGCGATGTGGCAGTGCGTGATGTGGCGGTGCGTGATGTGGCGGTACGTGATGTGGCGGCGCGTGATGTGGCGGTGCGTGATGTAGTGGTGCGTGATGTGGCGGTGCGTGATGTAGGTACACGCGAAGAGTCTCGCAGAGATCGGGCGTAGGCAGCTATTGAGGAGCGGCCAGACCGCGAGAGAATCTCCGGCACGGGGACCGTAGGCGGAGTTGGGGGTTCATCCTCGAAAAAAGCTATAATGAGCACCAGTAGCCCCAGCGACACCCCCGCAACTGAAGGAGGAGGGAATTATTACAATTGGAGGATGAGAATGCTGAACTTAACACGTGAAGTATGACAATTTTTTTTAATATAATCAATATTGCAAGTAATTTAATTAAACAGTCAACAAATAGTCGTGCGGTGGTAAATAATGTAAACTAAGCTACTCCCTGCTGAGATACAACACATTATGTAGTTTTAAAAATGCACGTTGGCAGAGAAGTTTACACCATAGGGTTAAATTTCAGAAGAGTCCTAAATCAGAGCTAATCCCTCCGGTACGACTAACCAATGAACATGTAGTTTGATATGAGATGTCGCAGCAGTTCCTGTTCTTCAGGAGAAACAGTGGCGTCATCGCTAGCTTCTGTATCGAACGTTAAGCCATGCAGACGCTGAGTGGCGTGCCATTCACTAAGCTCTTCCTCCATCAAAGGACTAATAAGTGCACGACTTGTATTCCATGCTATACTCTGAGCAAGGCCATTGCTATTCAACAACTTTAAACGAGCTCCGACATTGACGGGGTCAACTAAAGTCCCGGCAGACACATTAGTAAAGCTTGTCGTGGAGGAATTAGTGATGTCGTTGATTGTTTTCGCAAGGAGCTTCTCGCTGGAACGGTCAACGCCCAGCTGAGCGTTGTGGTCAAGCCCTGCTTGCCGCTGCCCGCTTGCCACGCCGTCCAGAACCTCCACCATAAACGGACCCAAGAAGAAGCCGCCGGCGTTGCCGAGCTGGTTGAAGGTGCAGCCAACACCTGCGGGTGAGAACAAGTGTTACAAACGAGGACATCTAGACCTTCAATGCGAGACGAACTTAAAATGTAATCAAAGACAATCAAGTAGGCCTAAAATGTAGCCAGAGACACTCAAGTAGGCATAAAATGTAGCCAGAGACACTCAAGTAGGCCTAAAATGTAGCCAGAGACACTCAAGTAGGCATAAAATGTAGCCAGAGACACTCAAGTAGGCCTAAAATGTAGCCAGAGACACTCAAGTAGGCATAAAATGTAGCCAGAGACACTCAAGTAGGCATAAAATGTAGCCAGAGACACTCAAGTAGGCATAAAATGTAGCCAGAGACACTCAAGTAGGCATAAAATGTAGCCAGAGACACTCAAGTAGGCATAAAATGTAGCCAGAGACACTCAAGTAGGCATAAAATGTAGCCAGAGACACTCAAGTAGGCATAAAATGTAGCCAGAGACACTCAAGTAGGCATAAAATGTAGCCAGAGACACTCAAGTAGGCATAAAATGTAGCCAGAGACACTCAAGTAGGCATAAAATGTAGCCAGAGACACTCAAGTAGGCATAAAATGTAGCCAGAGACACTCAAGTAGGCATAAAATGTAGCCAGAGACACTCAAGTAGGCATAAAATGTAGCCAGAGACACTCAAGTAGGCATAAAATGTAGCCAGAGACACTCAAGTAGGCATAAAATGTAGCCAGAGACACTCAAGTAGGCATAAAATGTAGCCAGAGACACNCTGTCTCTTATACACATCTAGATGTGTATAAGAGACAGGTCTTACTAGTGGCAGTGGTCCAGAAAGACAAAGAGTAGCAAGTCTTACTGGTGGCAGTGGTCCGGAAAGGCAAAGAGTGGCAAGTCTTACTGGTGGCAGTGGTTCGAAAAGACAAAGAGTGGCAAGTCTTACTAGTGGCAGTGGTCCGGAAAGACAAAGAGTGGCAAGTCTTACTAGTGGCAGTGGTCCAGAAAGACAAAGAGTAGCAAGTCTTACTGGTGGCAGTGGTCCGGAAAGGCAAAGAGTGGCAAGTCTTACTGGTGGCAGTGGTTCGGAAAGACAAAGAGTGGCAAGTCTTACTAGTGGCAGTGGTCCGGAAAGACAAAGAGTGGCAAGTCTTACTAGTGGCAGTGGTCCGGAAAGACAAATAGTGGCAAGTCTTACTGGTGGCAGTGTTCCGGAAAGACAAAGAGTGGCATGTCTTACTGGTGGCAGTGGTCCAGAAAGACAAGAGTGGCAAGTCTTACTGGTGGCAGTGGTCCGGAAAGACAAGAGTAGCAAGTCTTACTGGTGGCAGTGGTCCGGAAAGACAAGAGTAGCAAGTCTTACTGGTGGCAGTGGTCCAGAAAGACAAAGAGTGGCAAGTCTTACTGGTGGCAGTGGTCCGGAAAGACAAGAGTGGCAAGTCTTACTGGTGGCAGTGGTCCGGAAAGACACAGGGAACCAGAGAGACGACAGGAGCGCGGGAGCAATGCCCACCACCACCCCAGCAAAGCCGTTCAGGATGGCCGCCAAGTGAGCAAATCTGCCGGAGTGACGAGAAGGTAAGCAGATGATGCAGACAAAGCTCCATATAAAGATGTACATGGGTTGAGACAATCACCTCGACCTATTTATTGAACTGTTATCCCCAGCTTGTAAATATTATATTGTTTGTAACTGTTTTGAGGAGGTTGGTAACAATTGGTAATAATTGAACATACAGGATTGCCGTCAAATGAGCAGATATGCTGTTGCGGCGAGAGAAGAAATTGAACACACGACTAAACAAAATGATTGACTATTGGCATTTGCCTATAATAATCAGTTGCCTACAAATGAGTATTGGCATTTGCCTACAGTAGTCAGTTGCCAACAATAGAGTATTGGCATTTGCCTACAGTAGTCAGTTGCCTACAAATGAGTATTGGCATTTGCCTACAATTGAGTATTTGCATTTGCCTATAATAGACAGTTCAATAGCCAATAACATTAAAATAGCCAACAATAACAGAATGTTAAAAAATATAAAGTCGTTGTGGGGCTGACCTTGCTCTACTCAATATTGTATTGTAGCAAACAATGCCAACACAAGAACACCCTCGACTTATGCAACAAACTGTTACTTAATCTGCAATTTTTCTGTCTCAAAAGAGTATATAAATATTTTGATTGATAGATGGTGTGCACAATGGTTACTCTTTTGAAAATAGATGAGATAGATGAGACTTCCCTACTAAACGTCGTCGGGATAGGACGTACGTGTCGCGGCCGGCTCTCAGTGAAGTAAACAGTTGACGATTGTTTTCCTTTGATGACCAGTGGTTAATTAATTAAACAGACTGGGCCTGAGAGATGTAATCCAGTGTTTCGGCGGAAAATAAGGGAAGTCGGTAAAAAAGAGTATAATTTGTTCAGTGTGAAATTGTTCAGAAAATTACTCTTTTATATATGAAAAAGACCCGAAAAAAACGATAAACAGATCGGTAGAATGAAATTATAGCATTCAATACGTGAAGCAGTGAAGTGTTTACATTAAGTGACAAGTGTTTTGCATTAAATCACTGATACAAATAAGACAAATAAGTGTTGAGCTGTAGTAAGAGACGAGCAAGTAAGAAGCAAGTGTGCTTGAGGCGAAGGTATTTATTGCTCACATCCTGCCAGCCTACAACGCGGTCGGCAGCCGAGCATTCCAAGTCCAGGGTTCTTGCGGTCAGAATCGGAGCTCAGTGTAAGAATCAGAGCTCAGCAGAATTCTGCGAGCAGAATCGGAGCTCAGTGTAAGACAGGATATCCATCGTAATAGTGTAGAATATTCAGTGTAATAGTATAATCAGAAAGACAAGGTAAGATGGCTAAATGTGTTGTTACGCAACCCCCTATGGATAGTTCCTGCATCATTTGCAAGGAACTTTGCGATGCGACTCTTGTACTGCAATGCAGCAAATGCCAGTTTTTCATACATTTAAAATGTACTAATTTGCCGACATATTGTCTTGTAAGGCTCGATCAATCCAGAGCTTCTTATGAATGTACGAACTGCGTAATGAATTGTTACAAAAATTTCAAAGAAAGCGAAAAAAAAACTTATAGCAGCCATGAAAGAAAAACCAAAACGGGTGGTTCACGGTCCCGGTAGTGCTGGCCACCCCTCCCCCGGTGCCACCTCATCTTCCCTTGCAGCTAACGGTACCCTCGCCTCTTCCCATACGCCCTCCCCCACCTCTTCACTCACTCCTAACCCAACACCTACTTCCAGCTTTACCCTTGCCCTCAGCCCTTCCAGTGCCCCAACTTCTGATCCTANGGAGTGTTGATGAGTACTGAAGCCACGTTCGATGCCCATATCGAGGAAATAGTCGCGCGCAGCCGGCAAAGGATGGGGTGGATATGGCGGACATTTCGAACGAGAGAAGCAGCACCAATGATTACACTCTTCAGGGCCCGCGTTCTCCCCAATCTTGAGTATTGCTGCCAACTTTGGTCGCCACTCAAAGCGGGTGCGGTGCGGAAACTGGAGGCAGTGCAACGTACCTTCACGTACAGGATCAGCGGCATGAGGGAGCTGAACCTAAACTACTGGGGAAGGCTGAAACACCTGGAGCTGTACTCACTGGAGAGAAGAAGGGAAAGGTATATCATACTGTACACTTGGAAGATGATAAACGGACTGGCTCCCAACTTTGAGAGTGAGACCTCCAAAATAAGGACATATTACAACGAAAGAAGGGGGAGACGGTGCAGGATTCCTCCATTTAATAACCGAGACGCGGCCAGAGTACAGACTCTTCGTGAGGGATCACTGTCCGTGGTAGGACCGAGGTTCTTTAATGCCTTGCAAAAAGCGCTGAGAGGAGGGGAGTTCACCCTTGCAACATTCAAGAGACGACTGGACAAGTGGTTGAGAAAGATCCCGGACTGTCCAGTAATGGGAAACTACCATCAGCAAGTGACAGGCAACAGCATCTTGCATCAGCGTGCCCAAATGAGGGCAAATAGACGGAACACGTCCAACGTTATATCCGACGACGACTCGGAGACGGAGGACGACGAAGGCGGCGCATCAGCGTGACCTTGGACTACGACGTCCTAAACTCATCATAAGGTCATAAGGAGAACACCGAAAGTACAAAGCCAAGTGACGTTCTTGTGAGCACCCACGTCATGAAGAGAGCAGGGTCCTGCGTGGTGCAGCGCAGCGATGTGCCCACCGCCATCAGAAGCGAGCTGACTATCATGGCAGTCCGCATACCTGCACGATCAGCACTAAATGAAATATAAATGTTTAATGTGCAAGTATTGATATCATTGTTTTGCTTCAATTGGAAACTAAACAAGAATTTACAAGCAAAGCAAATGTCAAGTCAATTAAGCACGTTTTCATTGGTAATGTTTTAAAAGGAGCTCCTGTGAATTTCTTTGGCATTTTCCTCAATTTTAAATCCTTCCTTCAATTTAAATATTAGGATTTGAAAGCTTTCATCCATGAACTGCTTACTAGGATCAACTAGGAATCTTCTCATCACGTGTTTCACTCTTTTCATTATTAATATAAATATGAAAATTAATTTAGACTGTGTTTTTGGAAGGCGCCAGTTAATTTAGCATAAGGCTTTTGTGATGAGGCAAATCACATGCCCCAGATGGCAAGAGAGTTGTAAGCTCTAAACTGACCTCTCTTCTGTATGAGGAGGGTGCAGAATATGGTGCCTGTGAGGCAGGTCACAGGCCCCCAGATGGCGAGGGTGGCGATGTTGCTCGGGGTGAGTGCCGGATATGCTTCAACAGCTGATGATGCTATGGGACCCCAAGTGTTCCATACTGCACACTAAATATCATTCAACATCAATCAAAAGTCACGTTAGAGAAGCTGCCTAATCTTTGTAATTTGTGTCAAACTTTCCTCTAACAATTAATTATTCCCATCATTTATTGTTTGATTTTAAATGTTTATATGTCTTCAGTTCAATGGGGTTGATAGGTTTTGCTGTTACAATCCCTCCACAATTTTGATGTTGCATATTCATATACCATCATATGCTCAGCAATTTAATTGATTAGTGCAGATTAAGTGACACTGCAGTCAAACTTAATTGCATGCACATTATGTTTGAAATTATGAATATGTTAATTTACCCCAAATTTCAAATTACAATCAAAGTACTTGAAAGTTGAAAATTTAAAGGTAACAAAATGATATCTAATTGATAATTTTCAAGATATTTTCTGGTGAGAACATTGCCTGTATGAATCCGAGGGCAGCAAACATGGCAAGCATGGCATAGCGGCGAGTGTACAGCACAGGGCCCTCCATAAACTGTGCACTTTGTCGCAGCGTTTCTGCAATGTCACCACCTCTATCTGTGGGGGATAATTGTGGAGAATTAATAATAATTATCACAGTTGTGTCAACTGCATTCAAATTTTGACTGCCTGTAACAGATATTGCATGGCACATACACACACACACACATATGATGAATCAATGATCACAAATCTCTAATAATCAACCATTTAAAAAATAATTGAGGAAAATTATCTTCAGGACTGCAATCCAAATAAATGCATTCATCATCATGGTAATAATAATAAAACTTCTTACTTGGAGTTTACAAAATAACCACAGAATCATAAGAAATCAACTGGTCTATTGGGAATGCAGCATTAAATAAAGCACAGCACAAATACCTTCTTCATCACTGGCATGAGCAGGACTTTGGTCTTGACCACCACCAAAAATCTGTGAGCTTCTGTTAGATGCAGAAGCTCTGGTTGATGAAGAAGCCATCATGACTTCTTATCAAGTCATAATATTTTGGTCTTTCCAAATTTATAGCTTAGTTTCAGTATAAAGAATCTGTTAATAATAAATAAATAATACCAATGAAATAGTTTTACTAATTAATAAGCAACAATTAAATTCTGTAGAAATGGTCAAGGTAGCAAATGAAAGTTCAAGCAAGAAACCTTCTTCTATACATATTTGCAAGCAAAATTGAATTACCTTAACAATAGGTATATATAAATTCAAAATATATTTTGTATGTATCATAACAGCACTTAAAATAAAACCATACATCTGTCAAAATCAAGTCCCATACTCAAAGCTATTTGCAAAGCATCTAGTGACTGTGTTCAAAGCTCAGAGTTGAAGTACATTTTGTCAACTCGTACCATGAATCTATAAATATTTGAGTAACTCACAGTAGATGCTTTATTGATAGAATATTTTGTATTCAACTGCAGTTGTATATTCAAATGTCCTGTTTTAGTTGCTGACTACATAATTTTTATGTCCTTTTATGCATCTTTATTCTTCATGCATCTAGATCCAGTAGGTTGTATTGTTAGAACTCAAAAGTAATCCTTGACTCCTTTAATAACATGAATTATTGTGCCTAGTAAGACTACTATTAGTGTGTCAGTCTTCTAAGATAAACTTAAACTAAAGTAAATGCTTCTTCGTATTTATATAATTTGATTTGAAGGCTTTGGGTATGCAGTTAGCACACCTTCCAGCCTGGGTCACCCATCCTAGGTCCCAGCCTGAGCACAACCCTTAGTGGAGATGATGTGACTTCAGATGGATTTTTACGCCTGTTAATGAACTTTGCAGATGACTTAGGCTGCAAAAAAAATTGCCACTAATTCTGCAGGATGCACAAAATAAATAATGATTTAAAAGCTAATTCCGCAGCGCAACCAAAAAAGTGAAATCTCTGCAAAGTTTGAAGCATGAAGCCAGGAAAATTAGTCAGATGAATGCCAGACGCATGAAAGAACAGTAGCTACTGTACCAGGAGCAATGTTCATGCTTGTCATATTGCTCGAGAAACAAATATGACATGAATGCAGTTGTGTGAATACCTACAGGGGCTCTGGCTCAACAAATACGAGAGGGTCAGTAATCAACAATAGGACATTACAACTACGTAAATATATTGCTTGTTCAGATGTTTTTTTTCTGTATTAAATAGGAATGTATTGGGAACTTGGGTTTTGCTCTCTAGACTCAAGTCTGTCATGGAACATTGCTGCACTGTTATGCGTCAGTGTCATCAAAACTTCATTCAAATTTTCAAATGTTTCTGCATCAGAACCAAGCATTACTAATTCATCAACTTGATTAAAAATTTCTTGGTTTTCAGTATTTTGAGCAGTGGAATATATCTCACATTTTTTTGCATTAACCATGAGAACTGCAAAACCTAAATGATCCTCTAAAATGTTAGAAAAAATTCCACATTAATCAGTCTAAATGAGTTAAAATTTCAATATTTTCAATGGTTTAAAATACATTCAAACTCGTCAAATAGATACCCAAATATTAATTAAAAATCTAGAGAATAGTTAAAGCATCTATTCCTGGAAAGAAATTTTTTAAGTTGGTATTATAATCAATTCTTTGTTTACTTCTAGTAAAATTATTGTTAGATACCAAACTATTATTTTTTACATTTGATGATAGATTATTTCATTCATGATGGACCAGAAATAGGTACCTACCTATATATTGAACCAAGGTGATGCAAGAGTTGAGTAGGAATTACTGCTGCATCACAGCTTGATTGAATCATCTTGCAGTGAAATGTACATGCATTGGAGCTGGTATTACTACAGCCAATGCATGGGTTACATATCATGATGAAAATATTGAAGTTATTAATATAGTATTATGGCAAGTCAGGAAAGGTAGTTCAAGTGTGGTACCACACAAAGTAGTGACAAGAAGAGCTCTGTGCACAATGTGGCAAACAAACTGCTGAGTTAGCAGGCCTCTTGTGAATCAAGTGAATATGAGTATGGGCAACCCAACCATGGGCCAGAAAGGCCACTGTCCACTCTCCATGCCCGTTGGTCTCCTTGCAATCTCTAACTCGCGCATGAGGTTTTTTACCAATGCCATCACAACTTACATAAGAGGTTCTCTTATGCTTGCCATCTCCACTCACAAATAAGCCACTCTTACACTTGCCATCTCCACTCACACAAGAGGTTCTGTTATGCTTGTTCTCCTCCCTATTTGCACAAACTGCGTATAATTAATCTGTGGGAATAGTGAGTGAAGAATTCCCTAATCAATGCTATCATTACTACAGCTCATTGCATTGAAGTTCAGTCAAGTTACCTGTAGAACTTCACATGCCGGTGCTTTTTCTCTGATGTTCAATTGTAAGTTGAGTCTTTGTTTAACAGAGTAATAATTTCATTATTAGCATTAGTTGCCATGCATTAATGTTGTTAACTATGTTATTTTTATCAATAAAAACATAATAATTTGTGTGAGTATTAATTATATAGACATTAATTATGTAACAAGTGATATTTGGATCTAATAAGAACATGGATTGTCCAATGTGTTTAATTTAAATTTGTACAAGTCAATCAGTAAGACATATTTTTACTTACTCTATAGAAATTTTGGATAAAATAATTTCATTCATTGCAATTGTATTGCTTAGAAAACTGAAACTGAATACTATTTTCTCAGGTTTTCTGACACAACCACTAGCTGAACACAATCCATGTCCAAACAAACAGGCAAAAAAATTTTTAAATGTTTGCAGGTTTGTCACAAGGTTAATTTTGAAAACATAATTCTTAGCAAGGATTTTTAATCTTTTGATTTGTGTTTTTTTTATTTGTAACTTTAAACTTTTAACCCCTACTGAAAATCATCATATATTATTCAAACATGTCTCAAGAACTCTTTACTGAAAGGTTTAATGTAGCTGCTCTCTTGTCTGCATTATAGGAGATGATGAGGCCAAGGTGGTAACTGCTGCTTGCACTTGCACTGACCTTGTTTGTGGAAGAAGCTACAACAAATGCAGTAGACCAAAAAAATTTATGTGTTTTTTCTATGCTTTATGATTAGGGCAATCAAAGGGGTAAATGATGGATCTTGAATTTCTATGCAGGATCTACCTGACCTCAGTTTACAATTCCGGTGTTCACTACAAGTTATAACTCTTCTGCTTTGATCTGACTCCAAGAGATCTTGATATAATAATTGGTCAGTTGTCATAGATACAAAACTGATTTACACTAATTATTTTCTTTATTTGCACTCAAATCTTCAAGCTTCCTATAAGTTGACCATTGAATTTAATATTGTCGCTTGCAATGTTAAAATTTTTCCATCATGAAAATTTATTTTGACAGGAAATAAGAACTACGGATGTTAAAGTTTAAACTAGCTATGAGCCAATGAAAACGTGCTGCTCTAAAAAATGCAGAGCTCACAAATAAATATTGGACTATCAAAATATCTAACATAATTACATAACTTTGACTCTACAAACTCTAAAACTAAAATGAAATCAAATCTCACAGTAATATAATAAGACTAGATGGAGATGTTATTCACTTAAATATTAAATTTTGAAAACATAGTACGTAACTCCATAAGAATGTTCAAGATCTCTTTTGAAATCTGTGTAACTACTTTCCTGTGCAACTTTGTGAGAATTGTTACTTATAGTATGCCTGTTCAATGTTCATTACCTTAAATTACTAGTTGGGAGCACAACTGTGTGAACTGGGATTTTAGTCACTTGAAATCACTTTTAGATTTATATACTTCTAGCACCTCCACCAGCCAGTGCAGCTGTAAATTGTAAAAAGAAAAGGTATAATTAACCTCTGAAGAACATTCATAGCCTGGTCACCAGATTGCAGCTGAGCAAATATTGACTCATATGATGGATGGCAGCAGACAGCAGTCTAAGCAGTGACATGTGTGTGTGGTTCATCCTCTTCCTTGGATACCTTTTCATAGTTTTCAGCCTTTCAGGGTGCTGCTCACACACCAAGTGCATGTGATTATACTTTTCAAATGTCGATAATGCGTTTCTTTATGTCAATGTCTTGTTCTTGTTGACACTTGACAAGTTGCAGATGAAGAAGAAGCCACCAGAATGATTGATTTGATGCCGGGTTGAAGGTGAAGAAGAAGTCATGCGCAGACCGCCTGTAACACCTGGACTCAGCAATTATTGTTTAATTTAATACAAGTCTTCATCCTCTCACTTTCAGCTTCTCTCCTTCCTTTCTCAGCTGGTATACTTGTTCTCCAGGTGGTCAGCAGTCTCACGATGTGTAGCAAATTTTCATTAGATCCAGTGCTCTTCATTAGCTATAAGGTAGCTAGACAACAGTTTGTGTGAGATACGTAGACAGTTTGTGTGAGTTACTCACTTAGACAGTTTGTGTGAGATACGTAGCAGTTGCTTGCACTATAGAGTGCTGAACTCTTCTGGGGTAATTGCCTCCCCCAAGAAGCACACGCACAGAGAAGAGAGGGACTCTCAGGGCATTGATGCTTGATACCATCACATGTCTCTCACGGACGTATTGGGCATAAATCAGGAGGAAGTGTTCAACTGTTTCTTCAACCCTATAATGCATACACATGGGAGTGTTGGCCATCCCAAATCGATGAAGGTAAAAATGGACTCCAACATGTCCCAGACAAAGGCAAGTTAAGACAACTGAAACATGGCAAGAATGACAAGCAATCCATGGGACAAGAGACAGTCCTGAACGAATGGAAGCAAGATGATGACGCGTCCATCAGTAGCCACCGCAGAATAATAATAATAATAATAATAATAGCGGTTTCAGCGTTTATTAGGCCATGGGCCTGTCACCGATTCTGAACATCGCAGAACATTCACAGCATTTTGCGGGCTTGAACTCGCAACTCACTGCTACAATTCTGCTGTGCTTAACCGCCCGGCCTTCTTGCCGATTCTCACCAGAAACTGGCGCACAGAGCTGGGATCGAACCCGCACCTCTCTGCGCCAATCCTGGTACTTTGAACTGTAACCACTGGGCCACCCTGCCCAATCCAGATGGATTGGGCAGGGTGCAGAATCCAACTCCCAGTGTTACTGGGGGTTGTAAATACTATTTTTATAGC